GGGGCACAGAAAACCTCATTTTGCTCTCTTGAGGCAGCTGGTGGGTTCAAACTGCTGACCTTGTGGTTCGCAGCCCAATAAGTACCCCGCTATGGCACCAAGGCTCCTTCCAGGGGACCCAGAGGCCCTCGAATAGTGACCCAGCTCAAGGGTAGACCTGCTCTTTCCTTCTTCCTCTCCTTCCAACCACGTCTTGCTTTGCCCTTTGCTTTGTTTTGCGACAGGCAGCTGATTGACATTCCAGATGATCCTTGGACATGTGTGTTTTTATCATTCCCATTGTGTGGACTCCATAAATGAGACAGAGGGGAGTAAGTAGCATGCCTGGGGACACCGGCTACTGAGTGGCAGAACTGGGATTCGAAACACTTCCCCATGTGCTCTCATCCACCGACACTCGACCGTGCCAAACCCCAGGGCCCATTCCCAGTGGACTCTGACCACAGCTGAGCTGCCCCTGGAGGACAAAGCACCCAACTCCCTCAAAAATAACCAAAAGCATGGCCATTGAGTCAATTCCACCTCATACAAACCCTACAGGAAACCGCAGAGTGGCTCCCTAGGGTTGCTGAGACTAAATCTACACGGGAGCAGACAGCCTCATCTTTCTCCTGTGGAGCAGCTGGTGGGTTCGAACAACCGACCTTTGGGTTAGCAGCCCATTGCTTAGCTCACTGCACCACCGGGCTCCTTTGGGAGGGCAAAGGCCTGCAGACCACAGGTTCATCCTCTGCCCCCGACCGCTCATTCTCGTTCTAGGACTGGCTTCTTCTTCCTGCTGGCTCAGGGCCCTTCCTCTCCCCTAGATTTCCCTCTGAGTTGTCCCCAGTGCACCCCACGGCCTCCCGGCCACCTGCATGGAGAGGACTCCCATGCACCACCAAATGGCACGACCAGCTGAACGCCTTCCAAGTCCGGGTCTCAAATGCCTACCAGATCCCGCCACATCTGTGAGCCAGCATTGTCCTTCATCCTGGCACCCAGACACGCCTCCTTCCTCCCAGCTGTCCTCCTGGGCTTCTGCCACTTTGCCTGTGGACTCTCTGAAGGGAGCCTACTGGTGCCCCCTGCCCCACCCCACACCCAGTTCCGCCTCTCCAAAGGCCTTACTCCATAGCCGTACAATAGCCGGAGTGTTCAGGTGTCTGCGGGCCCTCCTCCCCCAGCATGACTGACAGGTTCGAATTAGGCTTCCTGTCACAGTTTCAATGCCTATCACTGTCTGGGCACTAAGTCCTGGCTCTGGCACCGACCTATTCAAAAGGTAAATCCGATTGGGACCATCCTTGGCCCAAACTATCACGGCTCTTAGGGCAATGACCAAACCTCCTACCATAGGCCTTGCTAGGGGTCAGGGGTGCTCTGGACACCACCTGCTTCTTCCACCGGCTCCACGGCCCTGCCCACTCTTCCTCCCTCCCGGACTCTGAGCGTACTGGCCCCCTCCCTCTCCAGCCCTGTGTATGCTGCTGACTTTCTCTGACCCCCAGTTCCAGGAGTCACCTCCCCGGGGACACTCTCCCTGTGTCATCCCTCTCGTCCTTGTTGGACGGTCCTGTCCTCCACTTCACTGTCATCTCCATGAGGGCGGGGTGGTTCCCCTAGCCCACTCGGGCAGCATGGACACCCAGCACAGAGTCTGACACACGAGGGTGACTCAGCGCTGGCTCCTGGGCATCAGGGGTGTGCTGGGGAGAACATGAGTGCTGGGGAGCCGGGAGCAAGGCCTCCCATAGAGCAGACCAGCATTCCAGGATATGTGGCAGTTCATAAGAGCCCATGCACAAACAGACAAACAAAGGACTCGGCGAGGTGCTGGTGCTTCGAAGAAAACCAGGGAGGGCATGTGGGCGAGGAGGGAGAGGGAGAAAGGGGAGGGTGGTGCGGGAAGGAAGGCCCAGGGGCCTCTCTGAGAACCCAGGATTCTGACTGAGATAACGAAAGAATCAGAAGGATTCCGTCAAAAAGCCAGAGAAAGTACATTCCGGAGGTTGGGTGGGGGGCAGAAGTGACAGTCCTGAGTGGGAACTCCCTTCGCCTATGGACGAGAAGGAGCCAGAGAGAGTATCAGCAAGGTAGAGAGCAGGATGGAAGGATGAGAGACAGACAGCTGGCTCTGGGAACCTTGGAGGCCAGGGTAAGACATCGGGGTTTTATTCTTAACACAACCCTTTCCCCAACCAGCCCCATTCTACTTTTCCAGTCCTTTCTACCACCGTCCCCCCACCAAATCTCAGCTCCAATCACACCTTCTCAATATCCCACTTCTTGTGTTACTTCACACCCCACCCCCATGGTTCCCTGACAGATGGCAGGACACTGGAGACAGAGGGCCAGGGATTCCTCTGGGTACGTAGCCCTGAGCACCTTGCACTTTTCAGGTGTCAGGGACCACCTCAAGATACCATCCCTGGCTTCTTGTGGAAATAAATTACCTCTCAAATTGAATAAGACTCCCATGGGAGTTACAGGGTGGAGGGTGATGTCTTAAACCTTAGTATCTCCTCTTCAGAACCTAGCCCAGAACACCTACCCTCACACCTAAGGAGCGCAGTGTTTGTGTTTGGGGAATCTTCCCACCACAGAGCCTCCCCTCCCTACCCCCACAAAATAGGAGCTGAAGGGGGTGGGGGGAAATTGCCATCCTAGAGGGTCAGAGGGAACAAGTCTGAGTGCAGAAAGAGGTTCAAGAAACAGACCCAGGCAGATACCTTTATCAGAGGCGACATATTCCCACAGCCATTTTCCAACCTGCAGGGCAGGTGAGAGGGAGGTGAGATGAGACCAGGTATCCCTGAGAGCAGAAAAGCATCCCTGGGGGTAGAGGGGGGGGGGGTGTCGGGATGCCCCAGCTCTACATTTCATTCTGCCCTGACTCAGAGATCAGCCCCATGGGTCCCACAGGGAGGGAGGACCCAGGGAACCAGGAGCTGGACCCTGGATTCTGTGGTTGTCCCTGGCCAGCAGGGGAAGGACGAGAATGAAGGGGAAACGGAGACAGGGCTTCCAATCAGGAGGCTTCTGGTGAGCTCGCTCTCCCTGGCCCTCAGGGCCTCTCTGGAAGTCGAAGGTCAATGGGGAGGCTGGCTGGGTGGGGCTGGCAGGCCCAGGCTGGAGGTGGAGCAGCAGTAAATGTGGGTGGGCAGAGGAAGTGGGGGTGGCAGGTGAAGGGGTGGACAGGCAGCAGCCGCATGATGTAGGAGACTGATCAATGCAGGACGTAGGGGCCCTGAAGTAAGTGGGAGCAGACCCATGAGACCCAAGCCACCCCAGCCAGCCCTCTTTGGCTGCCCGGACTGACAGACAGGAGCACACAGTCCCCAGGTCCCACCACTGCAGGAGGTACGGCCTGGATGTCAAGTCGCCTGTTGACTCCAGGCTGGGGGGCTCTCCATCCGGGCTCATCACCTGTGGTGTCGCCGCCGCTCTGGCCACTGCTCCTTCAGCTGGGTGCTCAGCCGGGCGTCCCTGCTCACCAGCTCCGAGAGCTTCTGCCAGGAGCCAAGAGGCACTGAGCAGGCTGTAGCTGCATCCACCTGGGCACCCTGTCCCGCCCCGCCTCGCGGCCAGGTACCTGGAGGAAGCTGGTGACTACAGGGTCGCTGTGGAGCATGGGGCCGTCGAGGGCCACCCACTGGCTGACCAGCCGCAGGATCTGCTGCCGCTTGTTGCAAACGTAGCTGCTGCGCTCCTGCTCGCTGCCTCCCGCGGGCTCCGCGTGGAAGGTGGGCGCCAGTCAAGGAAGCCGCACGCACATCCCTCATACTGGCAGAGCAGGGGCAGGACCGCCGCCCGCCCCCCCGCCCTATGCCACACACCACCCTCTCCCCCCTCGCTGGTCTGATCCCGAGGACAGGGGCGGAAGGATATTGGTGCAGCAGGGCCGCGCAGAGCTGGGCGCTGGGCATGAAGACGCTGTGCGTCAGGAGGAAGTCGCTGAGGAACGTTTCTGTGGGGCAGGGCGGCAGCCGGAGCAAGAGCAGCCTTCAGAAGCCACGGCCCACCGAGCCACAGCGGGGACCCCCCTCCTCCCCAGAGGCTAGTGACCCCACCCAGGCCAAGTAAGAAGACTCCCCGAGACTGGCCAACCCAGCGCCCCATAAGATCAGAGGCAGGGGCCCAGCCTTCTCTGCCCCAGGTGCGCTGACCACCCGATGAGCCGCTGCTGCGGGGAGGTGGTGCAGGTGAGGGCGCGCAGGGTGGCGCCTGGTCCTACCTGTTGGGTCATGAGCACCCGAGTCAGGCCGCATGGCCTCTAACAGCAGCTCCAGGATCTTCTCTGGGGTGCCGGACATCACCGTATACCTAGCAGAAAGGGCCGACCCGTGATGCTGGGCCACCGTGGCCTCCCACCACCACCACTCAACCACCCATCTATCGCCTTCCCTGTTTGCCTGGCCCATGCCATCAGGGCTGGGGAGAGGGCAGCCTCGCAGGGAGGCTGACTTGGGGGCTGAACCCCAGTCCCTCAACCCCTCTTCACCCCCCAGAGGGCCAGAGGGCAAGGGTGTGATTTGGGGAATCTGAGAAATGGAAGGGAGGAGGGTGGGCCCGAGGACAGGGTGGGGCAGGGGAGAGGCGGGTGTATTACCGGTTCCTGCCCGAGGCTGCGGGCGGATCAGGGCCTGTGCCCTGGGACGCTCTCTCCAGCACCAGCACCACTCTGCCGTGCTCTTCCAGCCGCATGGTCTTGGCTTCCACATCCTGGAGAGCAGCGCCCACACAGCGGTTGGCACGCGTGGGTCCCGCCAGGGTGTGCCTTCTCCTCTTACCTCTACCCTTCCACGCTCTTGAGACCCACAAATCCCAGCCCCTCCGCCCCGCCCCCCCCTTGAGTACAGTGAACCCTCGTTTATCGCGGTTAATCGGTTCTAGACCCTACCGTGATAAATGAAATTCCGCGAAGTAGGATTCCTTATTTGTAAATCAAATATT